CAACTTAGTGATGCTTACCTGTCTTTCAGTACTTTTTTGTTGTCCTGCCGATTACTCTTGCAACGTCACGTTTTGCGGACGCAGCGGCAGCAGCATTTCTAACAGTTTTCGTTTGCTGCATGCGGCATGTTTACGACGTACGTTTGCATGGCAAAGATCTCGCGAAGCTAATGGAACTCTTCAAATTTCTTGGAGACAAGTGGACAGCGTTCATGGGATTTGCAAGGACGACGTTAAAGTTGCACGTACGCTTTGAAAACGAACCTTTCCAAACCAATTTACTTACAGCATGTTCAGCACAGGAAAGTAATTACCGATAATCTAATGCTGCACTTTCCAGACGCTGCTTGTTCACTGCCCAAGGGAATTACTGCAGTATGGCACGCCTGCTGATTTCACCGCCTTCCACTTCGAATCCTTCAACAGAAAACTGAAAGTTCGTCAACAGTGCAGCCGTGGTGTCGTCGGCCTGTATCTTAAGAGGTCTCCTTTTTGCCTCAGTCTCCAGATTCATGATTAACCGTTCCGAAATTTTCATTGTCTAAGCATGCTTTTGTCGCAATTAACGGCAGCCCTATGGAGCAGACATTTTCCAGATTTGTCCTGCTTCATGAACTGCTGCAGCGGAATATTGACGCATCACAGCGGTCTGCACAGTCACGGGCATTCCTCGAGCATTTGGGTGTCTGTGACTCGCAGTATTCAAGTAAATATGTTGTACTTCGAAACGGTGGCCGACTGTTAAATATGGACGGGAATGAAAACGGTATTGAAGCACAGGGACTGCAAAACAAAACTACCTATCAACGATACGAATACCACGGTCGCACTTATGCTTCGCGGAGTTGGTTGCGACAGAGCAAAACTGATAACTCCTACGTAGTGCTCTGTCAGAATAACGTGTTTCATTTTGCTCGAATATCATCCTTTCTTTATGATGAGAAGTCGAAGGAGGCATTTGTAGTAGTTAACATGTTCCAGGTAGAAAACATGTTTGAACAGCTTTCTGATGATTT